CCCACTACGCAGAAAAAGAACTAAAGTGCGAAGAGTGGCTTCTCCGGAGGACGGGTAGGGGACGAAGAGTGGTAGGACAGATGCCACTCGGACTCGGGCGCGTAAAAGTGGCAAGACGCGTCGGAAGCGAGAACCCAATTGGTAACTCACCTGCTGGCCGAAACAGGGCTTGCCGTCCTCGCCCTCAGTACCGTGAATGAAAGTGGAGGATTTGTTGTAGAAGCAGTGGAGGCGGTGGGGGTGCTTGTTGACAAAGGTGTAGTACTGAGGAACGAATTGCCAGCCGACTTCCGAGGGATTGACAGACGTGTTGTTGGTCATCATGAGGGACTGCGAGGGAGACTGCGTCTGTGAGCTGAGCACGTCGCGCCAGACGACGAGGGTACGAACCGTGTATGCCGAGGACGTGGAGAGTGAGGCCGAGGAGGCGTGTGCGAGTGAGGTCGAGGTGCGATGAGCAATGCAACAAATTATTAGGCGCGCACTGACGCCGATGTGTGGCGGCGTTTCCGCGCTCCAAACTCCGAAAGCATGTGCGGGTGGCGGGCTGTCAATAACGCAGCTCCGATGCAACAGCGGGCGTGCGCTGATTGGCTGCTGACGTCATGGCGCTGTGGCGTCCGAGTACTGCCATCGTACTGCATATATCGAATCAAGCGCAGGCGACCCGGGCTCTGCATACTCTCTCTTACGACGACCATCTGCTCAGGCATGCCCACCAACCACGCGTATATATTGCTCTTGCTGCTATGTATAATTATTCTCTGCGTTCCTTCTGAAGGAGTATACGCGTTTGGTGCCGGAAACATTCCAAGGCAAGTCGAGCAATCGCCGATCGCGTTCATCAGGCTAATCCGCCCGCATGTCTCCAGTTTCGCTTTCTTGGAGGGCAAGGCGTTCCGTCATGGCGATATTGTGAGCTGCATCGGCACGAACTCCCGGAAACGTGATGTTAATGATCGTCGCAGGAAGACACACTCGGCGAGGTAGCGAAGAAAGCCGGAGGTTTTGCACTGGGTGCCCTGATAGGCAAAGGGGGGTCTAAATTTGGCGGGCTCGACATTAAACGTGTCTACTTTGGGTGCGTTTACTATACGATGTCTTGCGACCAGGAAGCTCATCTATATGGGCTTTAGCAACTGGTTGCGAGACTACAGCCAGGTACGCTCATATTCATATGGACGCACAGACGAGTGACTGAGGTACGCCACAGGCCGTTGATGTAGCAGGTCTCCAGAAGCTGCAGATCCAGGTCCGTTCACTCCCGCGAACACCCCTACCGCTCCCTGTATTTATTGGTACTGCCCTCCCAGACGATCATCAACCTGTGCATGGTCCTAGGATTCATGGTGCGCGGCATTCCAAGCTGAAGTTGCCTACTACCCATGTTCTAACGCTCGCGTCTGGCAGGCACATGGCTATGCTACGAACGAATTCGAAGTCACCGAAGAGCGTCTCGGTGTTTACCTCCCCGTGCGTATATGCGCGCAGCCCGTGCCGTGTTTCTCCACTCGTAGCTCATACATGTCCAGACTGAGCACATTGACAACCCGAAGGGGTACCCGGACAACGCCAGACAGTACCACCCTAAGCTGCGTCCTCCCGTAGACGTATGTCTTCGTTCTTCACGCCAGGATGGCTGCCTCTGACGGTCGAGAATATAGCCTAGGGAATTGGAGGTCGACCCCCGCACCGGGATGAAGAACTACATCGCGAACGGTAAATGACCTTTGATAGGTGACATGCCGTGTAGCCTTCCTTCTAACATATATGCCTCAGAGAACGGTCAGTGGGATACATCCAAGGCCCTCGTACGGCGCACGCTCGAGCGGTGCATCTACCTTGGTCGCCAAGCGCGCTCGAGCGGGGCCAAGCAAGATCTCTACGAAGCTTACCGTCTCCTTGGACAAGCTGTACGTATGACCCTTGACAGTGTGTGTCATGGATTAACGACATTTCAATCCAGCTCCACACCCTGGAGGACTTCCCGGCTCACTCCAACTTTTGCGAGCTCGCACTAGCATCAATGGGCCACCCTGATATCTTCGTTCACGTCGGAGACCAGGTGAGGATCCAGGCGCAGAATGGGAAACACGTTGCCCCGCTCGTCACGGGCACCTTCGGATCCAGCGACTTCATCCACAGTCTACTAGGAGGTACGTGGTCAAGCATGGTTGTATGCGCATATAGTCACCACTTTCACGCGTACAGAGGCCACCGACCACATCGTACGTTCCTCCCAACATGCTCACTCGCTTACCGTCGGCCTGACCCCTCGCACAGAGTCAAGCATCCGTGACAGACCTGAACGCCGAGCTCGACAAAGCCCGTGAAAAGTCTATCTCGCAGGCGAACTCTGGGCCCTCCCCCGCGGACACGCTCCGCTCGCTACTGTTCAAGCTGCCCGGGTCCGAAGGCCAGGAAGCCGCGCGCGAGATGGAGAGCGTCGAGCGCATCCGCGCGGGCCCGTCGCAGCCCGGCGGGAAGCGCCCCGAGGACATGAGCCCGCAGGAGATGCACGCGGTACTGTGGCAGGTGCTGTCGTTCCGCGATTCCGGTGGGTGTTATATGGGCGTGGTGCACGATGTTCTGCGCTGACGGTTTGTGGGTATAGTCGTGAAGAAGATCGAGAAGACGATCGGTGGGTTTCCTCGCCAATGTTAACTTGCGGTTGAAGCTTAACAGAACGCTGAATACAGAGAAGATCCCCGGGCTCGGGCCCCTGATTGAGAAGCTCATGGACTCTATCTCTGGTACGTCTAACTAAGTCGCCCGTGGCTACATTGTGTTGACGTTTGCAACTAGTGTTCATCTACACCACTCTCGAGGTATGTCGAAAATAATATTTTCCACCTGGAAAGGACGAGGCATATTGACCACGCATCCTCCGTAGCCGTTCCTTAAGCCACTCATGAAGCAGGCGACCAACGGGCTCATGGCTGCATCGGGCCAAGTCATCGACAGCAATGATCAATATGAGGTATATCAATTGCTTGCAGCGCTTTTTGTTCTGTGTACTGACCACCTTGAAGGTTTTCAACGACCCTAGAGCTGTAAGCTCCTTCTGACCCTCACACACTAAGTGGACGCACATATTGACTGCGCATATAGTCAGATCCGACTCACTCGTTCTTGAGCAAGGATCATTTCGTAAGCATCTCTCGGCTTCCCTTTGAAGATTTGGCTCGCTGACTAATTGTACAGAACCTGATTCTTAACGAGTGTGCTGGAAACTTGGGCAAGATCATCCTCGTACGATTGCCTACTCATGCGCAATACAGACACGCGATACTCACTCTATAATAGACCTATACCGCCAACCTCGTCGTCAAGGCCTGGGACGACGGTTCTGTGAACGTTCGCCAGGTTACCGAGGACATCCTCCAGTGCCTGTACGTCTCCCGCCTCCATACCGACCGCTTACATACCAGCTCACTACTTTTTCCCCAGCTTCCACCCCGACTTCCACGACCGCAACTCCCATATCCAACGAGAGATGCTCGAGTACATGCAACGCTGGGTACAGGGCCTCGGCGGACAACAACACGAGGTACTCCGCCGCCTCACCAAGCAAGCCGTGCGCAACCACGAGAACATCCGCCTCTCCGCCGCGCCCGGCAGTGGTACCCACAACCACGCCCCGCAGGGATATGCCCAGAACGCAGGTGTACAGGCGCAGCACCAGATCGGTGGCTATCTCAATCAGGTGCCGGGTATGTCGCAGGCGCAGTCCCTTATGGGTAAGCTCGGCGGGGGACAGGCCGGTGGGCCGCCCAGCAACACCCCCTTCGGCCAGGCGTCATCGTTCCTGAACCAGTTCACGGGCGGGCAGGGTGGCAGGCGGGAGGGCGGGCACGATAGCGCCCCACATGCACCTGGGTTTCCTGGTGCAGGCCCGCCGGAGCCGAGCGTGGGAGGGTATGGAGGCTCGCCGTTGCCGTCGAGCGGCGAGGCAGCGTCGTACTACAGCCCTGGGCAGTCGCAGCCCAGCGCGCACGCGCCTTCGCATGCGCCGCCCCAGCCTTCCCATTCGACGTACCCCGGCGCCTCAAGCTACTCAAACGAGCCGTCGTTCCCTCCCGCATCCGGTGGTCCTCCACCGCCGCACGGACACGGGCATGGCCACGGACATGGACATGGACACGGACACGGCGGTCCCCCCGAGCCCATGCCAGGATACTCGCCGAGCTACGCCGCCCCGCCTGCGCCCTCGTATGGGTTCCCACAGGCGGACGGTGTGTATCCCGGGCAATCCAGCTACCCTGGACAGTCGAGCTACCCCGGACAGGGTGGAGGAGGGTACCCGCCATACGGCGGACCTCCCCCGCCTGGAGGACCGGGTGGACCGCCACCTGGTCCCCCGGCTGGTTTCGGGTTCCCTGGGCCTGACATGCCTGGGCCTGGGGGACCGCCTCCGCCGCCGGGCGGGTATGGCAATGACAGGCCCTTCGGGTGGTGAGGCGATAGGATGGAAAGAGAAAGTGTACGTTCTTGATGGATGAGACTGGGCAGGATGAACCATGGGTGTTGTCTTGTTTATCAGTATGTAGCAGTGCTGTAACGGTTCCGCTCGAAGTGTATGTTGTACTGTGGAATGTGTAGCAAAGCAGGAGTCGAATAGCAAGTTCCATCCCTTATTGGTCATTCGGAGCACTCGAGTGGGAATGGTAGACTTTCGTGAAGTGTAACTATTCGTGGTGTGTGGTCCATCGTCATTTGGGTGTTTCTATTTCGTGACTGACGAGCGATGCATGCCTCAAATCTTATTCGAAGATATCGGTTGCGTAGCGACCTTGAATGGCCTTTTCGAAGAGCATCGCGGCCTCCTCATCTGAACAGTCGCGCGACTCCTTGATCATCTGCGTGAGCACCTTCTTTACGCCCAGTGCCATCTTGCCGGAACCGCAAGTGAAGAGCTGAACGTCACGGTAAGCAAGGATACGCAAAGCCGTTCCAGGAAGATCACTCACCCTCGCGTTGTGATGATCATATGCTCCCCTGACAAGTGTGCGGTCTTGCCAAGCACGACTAGGGGGGGGGGGGGGGGGGGGGA